AGCTGCTGGAGACTGGAGAACATGTTCGTTTTATTAAGTCTCCACCTTGAAGCACTCATCTTTCCAGTATTCTGTGTGTATAAATGGTAAGTGCAGATAAAGCACCTCTTCTAGGTACCTAAATAAGACGCTTGTCTTGGTGGCTTCTGAGCTGTGAATCCTCCGAGCTGTTTCATTGCACATCATCTATATTTGAAAGAACAAGTAACAGTCAAAACTATAACAGATGCAAACTTTGGTTATTGGCATTGTCTAGGGGGAGGGGAAAAGAGACTGTCACTTCAGGGAAAATAACTGGCAGTATTTTTTCTTTCCTTTATTTATTCTAATCAGTTACACATGACAGTAGAATGCACTTTGATACATCATACATAGTTGGAGTATAATTTCTCATCCTTCTGGTTGTACATGATGTAGAATAAAAAAATAGCATTCAAGTGAAATTCTTCATTTAGATAACTTTAAGCTTTTAACATCCAATCATTTTTCCTGATGAGACTGTATTAATGAATGTTCTTTTATACTTGTTTGATATTATATACTGAAATGTTTTGACACTTGGAAGAGCTAAATACCTCAGTGAATCAATATTACCAAGATGTCAGAAAATCACACATCAAAGTTAGTGATATCACTTTAGACTCTATGTCATTAACCCAACCCTAAAGAAATTACCACCTGTCAAATCAAAAATTCAAAGAATGTCCATAAGTACCTGGAAAATATGATTTAAAATGTGTTTAAATTATACAATATGAATTGTATATAATTAAAATGTGATTTTTCTTTGACCACAGAACTGTGCAATGCCACTTTTTTCCTATTTATAAAAACATATCTCAAAAATTTAAATGTGGAAACAGAAAAATATAGCTGTCTTCCAATAAACTAGTCAATAAAGAGTTAAAAGTTGTTCTTGTTATGTTTGCTTCAAAAATACAATATAGGTTGGGACCTGGGGATGTGGCTCAAGCGGTAGCGCGCTCACCTGGCATGCATGCGGCCCAGGTTCGATTCTCAGCACCACATACCAACAAAGATGTTGTGTTCACCAGAAAACAAAATAAATATATAAATATTAAAAAATTCTCTCTCTCTCTCTCTAAGAAAAAAAATACAATATATGTTGATCATTATTATTTCAAACAAAACTAACAAACATTTTAAAAGTTTCAGTTTTTATTTTTAACATAGTAAGTATTGATAGAGATCATTTACAAAGACCTTTGGGCTCACAATATTTTTAATGTGTCAAAAAAATATTACTTATAGTTCCCTGATCAAGGTTCTGGGGTTGTTGAATACACAATCAGACTGACTTTCCTCCCCTCCTCCACCCCGGTTCTCTTTCTCTATTTTCTGCTATTATAATTTTTTTCTTAAGTAATGCTTTGTGAATATACATAATGGCAAACTTCACTATGGTATATTCATATATGCACATAGGAAATTTAGGTCAAATTCATTCCACTATTCTTTCTAATCCCTTCCCCCTCCCCCTGAATTCCCTTCATCTAGTCTACCAATCTCTCTCCTATTTTAATGGAATTTCACCCGCTCCACACCTTTTGTGGATCCCCTCCTCGCGCCTTTATTTTGGACTAGCTTCCAAAATTGACTTTTGGGATCTGACTTATTTCACTTAGCATAATATTCTCCAGTTCCATTCATTTACTAGCAAATGCCATTATTTCATTCTTTATAGCTGAGTAACACTCCATTGTGCATATATACCACATTTTACTTATTCATTCATTTGTTGAAGGGCACCTAGGTTGGTTCTGAAGCTGGGCTATTGTAAATTGTGCTGCTAAAAACATTTATATGGATGCCTCCCTACAGTATGCTGATTGTAGAGCTTTTGGATCTATTCTGAGGAGAGGTATAACTGGATCATATGGTGATTCCATTCCTAGTTTTTTGAGGAATCTCCATACTGCTTTCTGGAGTGGATGTACTAGTCTATAGTCCCACCAATAATATATGAGAGTATCTGATCCCCCACATCCTGTTGTGTTCTTGGTAACTGTCATCCTGACTGAAGTGAGATGAAATTTCAATGTAGTAGCTTTGATTTACATTTCCCTAATTGCTAGGTGTTGAATATTTTTTCATATATTTGTTGGCCATTTGTATTTCTTCTGGTTGGTTTTTTTTTTTTTTTTTTTTGGTACCCAGAATTGAACTCAGGGGCACTTAACCACTAAGCCACATCCCCAGCAATATATATGTATATGTATATATATAAAAGAACACAATCCTGTTTTTTTAATATTTATTTTTTTGTTTTAGGTGGACACAATATCTTTATTTATTTTTATGTGGTGCTGAGGATCGAACCCAGTGCCTTGTGCATGCCCGCTACCCCTTGAGCCACACCCCAGCCACCTCCAGTCCTATTTTATATTTTATTCAGACAGGGTTTCACTGAGTTGCTTAGTGCCTCGATTTTGCTGAGGCCAGCTTTGAACTTGTGATCTTCCCACCTCAGCCTCCCTAGCCGCTGGGATTACAGGTATGTGCTTCCATGCCCAGCTGTATTTCTTGTTTTGATAATCAAAATAACTTTTACAAGTACAAGGGTCCTAACACCAGAAAGCCTGAGAAGTGTTACAGAATACTTCTACAATCTCTCTTGAATGTCTCTCTTCCTTCTCATTCCATCATCCATTCTACTCATAATTTATTGAAGATATGGCCTATCTCAGGTCTATATGAAGTTTAAGGGTCCAGAGGGAATGGAGCCATCCCTTCACCTTAGGAAGTGTCAGGATAAGCAAAGTTTCAGTTCCTGGTTCTTATAGCAAAATACATTCTCCTAAATATTTCATTTTGATAATGTAGAGAATTCTTCAGCTCATACAACTTTACTAGGGCTGCCATAGCAACCTGGCAGAGTGGTTAAAACAACAAGGATTTTTCCGCATAAGCCTACACAGAGGCCTATATTTCTGTATTCTACCTGACAAGAGATCTGGCCCGTATCATAGAGTAATTATTCTCTATTGCTGTCACAGGGTCGTTTACCCTTTGCACCAAGGGAATCCCAGAGATCACTTTCAAAACAGACGTTCAGATGCTGCTAAATGTCACCCGTCAAAGAAATCTTATACCCAGTATAGGCAGACATGTCCAGCAAGAGGCTGGCCATGAGTTTGAAAGCCAAGACAGAAGCTTGACTTAGTTCCTTGAGTTCTCCTTGGGAGAGAGAGATATTCTGTGAGGAAGGAGTGGGGCCATTGTGTAGACCCAAGAAGGTGACCATTGGCAGGCTAAGGAGATAGACCTTAAGAGAAACCAAACCTGTCGACACTTTGACCTTGGACTTCTAGCCTCCTGGACTTTTGAATAGAGCCTTCAGATATAGCCAAATCTCCACTTGCTTCCGTCCAGATTTCCAAAAGGAAGTTTTGCCTTCTCCATTCTGTCCTTTTTCTGTAGTCTTCTCTGATGCCCACTGCCCTGCACCACTGCCCAGCAGAATAACTCAATTTCTCCAAAGTGCTTACTTGTCTGGTATATAGTCTAGTGAATTAAACCAGGCCCAAGGATGGAAAATCAGAGTTCAACCTGGTTGACAGTGGATAATGAATAGAAAAGGAACCTGAGCTTAAGATTTTGTTGAATAAAAAAGAAAGTCACTACTGGTGGATGTTGACTTCCAAGATTACAAGACTAGTATTTTTACCCATCGACTTGCTACCTCTAAATTAAGCATATTTTTACTTCATTTTCAATTATGATTTTAAAAGGTAAGAATCAAGTTTTTAATTTTTGTTTCCAGTGCTCAGCTAGATTATATGGTGGATGCAAATAGCACAGTTTAAAGATGAGCTCTCTAAAGTAACTTTACACCAACTTGCTCATTCTTTTTATACCTGAGTGGGAAAATCTGATACCCCAGAAAATCAGGTGAAAAGCAAAATTCTAGTTGAACCTTTAATGGTGATTCATTTTTGAAATGTTATTAACTTTGCATCAAATCAGGCTATTTTTTGTGAAAATGTCACTCCTCTGATCTGAACCAGGTTCTGGTAAATGAGAACAGACTGGGAGCTTGATGAATATGGTACGTGTGGCCATTTGGGGCTCCTCCCTCCAAATTCCACAAATAGGGTTACAATGACCAAAGCAATAGATTATCTTTCCATTTAAAGCTGATTCCGTTCCCTTACTGCAGACTTCAGACTCTGCCCCGTGGGCTTCTCTTTATCAAATGCCCCTTTCCTGAGTTTTCATTCTCTACTGATGTTTTCCCGTTTGTAATACACTCACATTTCTCGCCAGGCCCCGCCCCCCAAGCCCTAGGCCCTGTCCCTGTGTGGGTCCTGAGTCCTATGGCAGTTAAGGGCTCTCTGTTCTCATTCATAGTCAAGAGTTGTTTGTAACATACTCACATTTCTCCCCACTAGGCCTCTTATCAGCTGTATGGTTCTTGCGTAAATCACTAAACCTCCCTGAACCTCATTTTCCTTTACTGTAAAATGGGGCTATTTTATTAGATCTCATAAACTGCTTGATAATTTAAGATTTAATAGAGTATTTATAACAGTGTTTGGGACATAGTTCATATCATGTAAACATTATCCAAGTCTTTCATGTTTAATCTCATCTAATATCTCTGCAATAGTTGACACTGCTGACAATACCTTCTTAAATGAAACTCTCCTCCCTTAATAATGACCTATCTTTGTTTTCCTCATTTGCTTGCTGCTTATTCTTTTTTTAAAAATCAAAATGTAAAATGTCATCATTGTCTTTATTTTTTGGACACACATTTATTAAACAAACCAGTTTTACATATGCAACTGTAAAATCTAAAGAAACAGAATAAATTTTTTAAAAAATATTTATTTCTTAGGTATAGATGGACTCAATACAATGCCTTTATTTTTATGTGGTGCTAAGGATCGAACCCGGGTCCCGCCGGTGCTAGGCAAGCACTCTACCGCTGAGCCACAATCCCAGCCCCTAAATTTTTAATAAATTTCTCATCAATGTAGTTCACTTTCAAAGAAATGTTTAATTGACAGGGTAGAACAATGTGTTTCCACATGCTGATTGATCAGTGCAACACTGACAATTACAGTTAACATAGTCAAGAAGCTGAAAATTGAGATTTATGGAAGACAAACTTAATTCCATCTGTTTAAAAAAAGGGGGGGGGATAATTTAAACTTGTAAATCACACACTTTTCATGCAAAAACAACTACTTTTAATCCCTATTTTCATCTTAAATGACCATTGAAGAATTAAACAATTTTGGGGAAAATTCAGTAAAAATTAAAAACTAGTAGTATGCATTTAAAAACTGCTAATAGGATAAATAAAACCAAATATTAACTATTTTTCACTATACCATGAATATTGGCACTGTTTATTTCATATTCATGTCAGTTTCAAAGCTTAAAAATCCTAATAAAATTAAATGGTTTGATCAGTCCAGTTTTCTTCAACAAAGGAATCCCTTGCTTCTAGATTATAGATTTTTAAAACCGAATTATTGCCTTTGAATTTTCATACAAACGAAATACAAATGTATTTCTTTTATGTTGGTGGTATTATAAAAGGCAAGAAATTCTGTTAATGTTGTCCTTAAAAGTACAGAATTAAAATCATAATAGAATCCATCTAGTGCACCCATAAGTGTGTGTTTTGATTTCACATCCTTTTCTCATAAAAACTGAGAATTCATAATACACATCATGTGGATATTTTGGGGTTAGAAAACCCATGGCTTTGGGCATTTTAAATAATAATTCCTGAGTTTCTTCACTCAGGAATTGCATACATTTTTACCTTCCCTCAAAATAAAACACTGATGATACCCTTGCAGAAAAACTTACTAAATTATCTTTAAAAGTAAAAAGGCAACATTATTTTCAATTGTCTGAATAGAATTATTATAAATGTTTCAACTTTCACAACCCAGGCTTTTTTCTACCTAGTTTCAGACACCTCATGGTTCTCACTCCTTTTTTCACCCCAGGCTCAACAGCACCAATTGCAACATAAATGATAGAATTTGAGGTCATCCACCTGGAAAGAAAGAAAAAAAAAAAAAAAAGGAAATATGTTTCCTGTTTCTGGGCCACAGTGAGGTTAGTCATTTGTCCATTAGCAACACTTCTTCCCATCTCCTGCTTGTGCACTTTTTCTGTTCTTTCTGCAACATTCCTTCAGGTATAGAAAGTCTTCACTGCAATGCCCCAACTTGTCAAACAGCTTTTTCCAACCCTTTGCCCAAAGATTTTACTGAAGGCTCATATTATTAAATAAGATTTTCTGAAAGCACCTCTGGAATTCCAACTTGTGAGCCAAAACTGGTTGCTTCCACAATCGCCAGGCAGTGCTTCTATAGGGGACGTATAAAGAAAAACATGTCCTTGGACCCAGCCATTTCCAACATCTTAGCTCCCAAACACAGACTGTCATGTAGTTAGTGTCTTTCTTGTACTTATTCCGAAATGATTCTCTTGGGTCCCTCTCCTCCAATAATGAAAATTTAAATCTGGATATTTCTGGTTAATTTAGGGATACCACTAAGAAAATTAGTCTCCTCTACAGGCCACACTGAGATGATTAAGGATCAGTTCCTACAGCAACCCAGTTAAGATGTGTCCTGTTACCACTGAGTTCCATGGCTATTTGTCCTTATTCTTTATCCCTAGCTCCACACTTACAGAAAACAAACAACAACAACAACAAAAACACTTCTTAAAGATGTTTAACCTCAGGGATAGCTGAGCTAGTTCCATACTTGAAATTCCAGGAGAGGTTTTCATTTCCTATAAAGCCCACCAATTGGGATCTTATTCTAATATTTCTGGGACTTATTTCCTGTCTCCTATGCAGTCTCACATTCAGTTAACTCCTAGTTTATATTCATTTACCATACCTTCTCTTCCAGTCTTTTCTGACCTATGTTCCCAGACTGCCCTATGCAACTTCTACCTCACACTATTTTTTTCTAATTTTTATCTGTTCGTTTCAGTTAAGGTGACAGTAGTATGTATTTTGACATTTCATATCTACACGGAGTATAAATTTCCATTTTTGCCTCATATTGTTTTTGACACCTAAGGTCTCTATACTAGGTTGTGAGTCTTAAAGAAATGGAACTGAGTCTTACTTGCTTTTAAACTCCTAATATCCAACATAGTATCAGGTGCTTAATAAGTGGTAAATGAATAAAACAAATAAAATGAGTGCTGCTTCAGCCAATGTCTCTTTAAAGAAAAGGTTGAAGAGTTCAACAATTATTCAGACCACCTTATGTGCAATGCAGGCTCAGAATCCCGTTTAATTTTATTCCAGGTCTTGTCTACAATACATTCCACTATTGAATTAACCATAAGTAATAATGATCCCAAGCACAGGACCTACCATCAGTTTCAATTTCAGCTTCACCAGTAACCAAATATGTGAACTTGGGAAGTTAATCTCTCTGGGCACCATCTTCCTTCTAAGAATGTAATACACATTTCTTTCAATTTATTATGACCGAATGATAATGTATGAAAATAGTACTTGGTACCACAACATACACTCTAAAAAAAAAAAAAAAAAAACTTACTAAACAACATCACTAAAATATTGAGATGACCCTAGGTGGAATATTTTCGCCTTACTTGTAAGTTTCCATTTTAAACAAATGAAAATAAGAAAGCTGCAAATATCCCCAAAGCCAAAGGCGAATGTTTCCTCTAATACGCAGATGCTAACTCGGGTGGTGGTGGTGGTGGTGGGGAGACACTAGAGAAGACTAGGGTTACCTTAGATTAGGTAGAGGGAAGTGAAGGGAGGTCAGGGCAGGGGATGTGGGGGATAGGAAGGACAACAGAATGCAACAGACATTATTACTGTATGTATATACGTGACTGCGTGACCAAAATGATAAGGGAGGGAGGGAAAGGGAAGGAGGCAGGAAGGAAGCAAGGAAGCTGCGGTCCTCTGCAGAAGACTGCGGGAGCCGGGACGTGATGGATCCTGCGCGTGCAGGGGTTGCTGTCTCGCCCCCGACCCCAGGACCAGCTTCAACCCAGTCTCCCACAGTCCTGGCACTCAGCCTTGCCCTCCGAGGTCTCAGGGCTGTCCACAGCTTCCTCCACGGGACACCGGGCCAGGAGCACGCACTACGGAAAGCCGCAGGAGGTCTCGGCTCTGCTCCGGCCGGCCGAGAAGCCCCGCCAGAAGGGCCCGGACCTCCGCAGCCCTCCGCACCGCTCCCGCAGGAGCGCCGAGTGTAACCTTGGCCGCCGTCAGGGATCGAGAGCGCCTGCGCGCCTCGGAATCTGGTCCCGTCCACACCTTGGCTTGCGTCTCCACGGCTGCAGCATCCAGCGGGCTCGGGTCCAGGCCTAAACACCCTCACGCTCCGCGCCGCCCCCTCAGGAAGCTCACCCATCGCAGCCGCAAGCCGCGCACGCGCGCCGGGCCCCACGTAGGTCCCGCCCCCGACGCCCGCCTCCATTGGCCGAGAGGCCCGGCGGCCCTTCTTGGAGCGGGCGTCACGTGACTGAGGACGGGGCTGAGGCGGCTGCTTCCCAGCTGGGCCTGGAGGGCTCCGCGCTCAGCCGGCTGGGTCGGCCCCGAGACCCCGCGGACTTCCGGCCCCAGCCGAGCGGGGCGGCGGGAGTGGCTCTGGCTGTTGTCGGCTTTCCAGGCCCGCTCGCCTTCCTTCCTGAAGCCGGGTAGTCGCTCCCCGATGCCGAGGCTGCGGTCGCCGCGAACCGGATGCGAGCCTCTGAGACGCACCGGAAGTGTCCTCTGAGGCTGAGGCCGAGGGGCGGCGCGGGCGGGTGAGCTACGGACCCGGGTGGGCCGGGCGGCGTGCGGGTCTGTGCGGGGCGGCGCTGGTGAGGCAAGGCGAGCCGGGCCCGCGGCGTGTGGGGTGGCGCAGTGCGGGGAAGGCCGGACCCGGCCGGCGGCGTGCGGGGCCGATCGGGAGCGGACAGCTTCTGCGTCTAGCGGGTCCTGCGCCCGCACTCACCGGGGACCGTGGAAGGCCTCAGCTGGTTGAAAGCGCAGCCCGTCGGCACGGTCGACGCGGGTGAGGGCGGGAGACGCTGCTGCAGGCGTACGCGGCTTTTGCGGACGTGGACGGCCCCTGCCTCCTGTGCGGCGGCGCCCCGCGCTGGGCCGAGTCCGGGTGGTTCGTCCTGACCGTTGCCTGGTGGACACCGGCATCACAGGTAGCTGTGTTACCTACACTGGTCACGGCGCGTCGCCGTCTGTAGGATCAGAAGAAGGGGTCCTTGACCTGGAGGTTGACAGAATGACGACCAGAGCAGTTGGCAGAAGGAGAGGGATTCAAAGCGGAAAAGCAAGGCCTCGGGCTTTGTTAGGAAGTCGAATGCCGAGCGAGTCTTGACATTTTGTATGGAGCAGGTCAGGAAGGAACTTTCTAGCAGGTTTGCTTACAGGAAAACCATGTAGGCAGTGATGGAAAGAGGTGTAAGGTACGCTGCAAGGATGCTCACCAGACTGGAGAGTAAATGCGACCAGTATTTATTAATTTTTTTTTGTTGTTGTTGTTGTTCTTTTTTCCAGCGCTTAAGATGAAACCAAGGGCCTGCACGTGCTAGGCAAGTACTCCACCACGGAGCTACACCTCAAGTCCTCTTATTATTTAATTTTGAGACGAGGTCTGGCTAAGTTGACCTGGCTGCCCTGAACTTGTGATCCTTCTGCCTTAGCTTGCCCGGTAGCTGGAATCAAAGGTGTGTGCCATGGCGCCTAGTTTGGGACCAATATTTAAATAGCACTAGAAAAATTATAAGTCTCACGAAGTTATCTTGAACATTATTTTTTCTTTTAGGAGAGGGAGGACTTGAGTATTGTGAATAGTTCTGGTCTAGAGACCTTTTAGAGCCAAAAGGAATACAGTCTTGAATCTTTCTTATGGTAAGTGGCATACCAGACTTTATGTATATTTTCTTCTTCTTCTTATTTTGGTGGGGGCGGGTTGAACCAGGGGTGCTTAACCACAGCCCTTTTTTTGTTTTATATTTTGAGACAGGGTCTTGCTAAGTTGCTGAGGCTGTTTGATTTTGTGATCAGACTCCCAAATTAAGCTACCAGGATTATAAGCCTGAGCCACCGGCCTGGGGTTTGTTTTGTTTTGTTTTGTTTTTGTAGTACTGGCCTTTTATTTTGAGACAGGTCCTGCCCAGATTGGCTCAAACTTATGATTCTCCTACTTCAGCCTCCTGAGTTGTTGAGCTTAGATGTGGGCCTCACCTGCCCTAAGCCCTGCGTTCATATATAACTGTGGATTTGAGGGTAGAACAGAAAAGAATGGGAGAAAACCAGTGGAGAAAGAATGTTCCTAGCCCTTAACACAGTAAAGCTGTAAGACTGAGCAGTGTGCCCTATCAATTCAAGAATGTGTTCTAATTCTTTCTGTCTTGCCAGCATTTTCATGATAAACTTACATTATTGCTTCTTGACTAATATGCCACACAAAGAACGTAATATGCCCAGTGCTTAGGCAGGCTCTGGTGTCAGAAGATATATACTTAACCCCTAACTAGCTTTTTGGGGTGATTAGCTAACTGCCCCGAGCATCAGATTTTCTATTGAAGATACAAACATTGGTATTAATATCTCTTTTATAGGGTTCTTGGGAAGAATAAGTGAGGTAATCCCCTGTAATCAATGCAAAATAAATGAGCTTATTCCTAACCAAGGGCCTATAATGTAAGCATTATTTATTTTTTAGGTAATGCTTTAATTAATGACTTTAATTGTCTCATACATACTTTCACTATAAAGATAACCTTGAACTCTTAAGCTTTGTAATTCAGCCTGTCTGCTTGGGAGGCTTTTGTTGCCTGTCTGATGATTTTGTACACTTTGACCCTGCACATGAGAATACCAGTCTCTTCCTAGGATGGAGAAAGAGAAACGTTGTAGAGGGAGGAGGGTATTTGGGTTTGCCTGATGGACCAGTTGGGTCTACTGGCATAGCCTGTTGTATTGCTACTGGAGATGAAAGGATGATAGCCCTTTTCTGTTCTGATATTTGTTTCTTCATATTTTTTATTTATTTAGCAAATGTATTTTAGATGGTAAGGAAATTGCAGTGAAAAAAAGACTAGATCCTACCCTTAATAGATGTTACATTCTTTTTTTAAAAAAATCCGTTGGTGCATTTATTTATTTATTTATTTTTTAATATTTATTTTTTAGTTCTCGGCGGACACACACCTTTGTTTGTATGTGGTGCTGAGGATGGAACCCGGGCCGCACGCATGCCAGGCGAGCGCGCTACTGCTTGAGCCACATCCCCAGCCCCTAGATGTTACATTCTAATAAGAGAATCAAATAAATGAACAAATATAAAATGTGTATTACAAAGTTGAATTGAGAAAAGTGCATGAAGAGAAATAAAATAGGACAAATAACTTGAGCTATTTTTAGATAAAGGTAGTCAAGATGTGCTGCTTTTTGAGGAAGTAATTTTCAGGCAGAAACTTGAATCAAAGGAACAAACAACTTGTAGCAATTAAGCAGAAGGAAAAAGTGATATCTCTGAGGTATCTTGTGAGACTGAAGGGAGGCAGAGATGACACATTTTGTAGGGCAATAAAAACTTTGGCTTCTGACTTTGTCTGCATTTTCTGAATGTGATAGGAAACAGCATTTAAACTAGGAAAATGTCATGGTCTGCTTTGAGTTTGAAAACCCATCTACATTGTATAGGTGCTTATATTTCAAACTTAATACATGAATAGGAAATTAATATCTTTATTTTTTCAAGTTTTTCTTCTTGGTGCCCCATACTTTCTTGGTTATTTATGTCAAATATGATACTTTAGATTTATTACTTTAGGGAATAATCTGATTAATTTGCCAGCCTATGATCAAACTCAGAATCCTTTATATTGAACTCTCCTTTTGAACTTTACCACATTTCAAAAGACAAAATACCATAAACCCATCATTTTGTACCACCTATTTGTCTGCATGCCTGCATATCTATTTAGTTATGATTCTGAATTGAAATTCTTCCCTTCTAACATTTCTGCATATATTTTCCCCTAATATTGCCATGTCTTTCTATTAATCATTAACTGGCTGAGTCTTTTTATTTAGTTTATTATCTTAGTGGGTTTTGAGGCAGACTTGATACAAGAGTCAGGTACAAAGGATGAGCTCAATAAATGTTAGTGGTTAGTGCATGCCTATGATCCCACCAATATGGGAGGCTAAGGTAGAAGGATTGCAAGTTCAAAGCCAACCTCAGCAACTTAGTGAGACCCTACCTCAAAATTAAAAAAAAAAAAAAGAGGACTGGGGATGTTACTCAGTGATTAATTGCCCCTTATCTTGGTTCTCATTGCAACGCCTTGAAGCATGTGTATTACCTATTCTATCAAAGAAGTTGGGAAATTTAAGTAACTTACCCAGGTTCTTCCATCCACAAAGGAGCACAGTGGGAATTTGAACCAAAATGTGATTTCAGAGATTAACCTTTTAATATTGAAATAATTTCAGGGTTTTTTTTTATAGTTGTAGTTGGACATAATACCTTTGTTTAATTTATTTATTTTTATGTGGTACTGAGGATGGAACCCAGGACCCCACATGTGAGCCCCACACGTGATCGTTCTACCACTGAGCCACAACCTGACCCCCTAATTTCAGATTTTTTTTTAAATTGCAAAATAATACAAAGAATGCCTGTATAACCTTCACGTGTGTTCTCTAAATGTTAACATTGTATCATATTTTGCTTTATGATTTTATATGTCTGTATATACACACAGATATGTACTTTTTTTTTTTTTTTAAGAATTTGAAAGTGATCTGAGGACCTAATGTCTCTTACACTGTGAAAGAAGTAGGTCCTGAAGTCCTAACTTCTCTCCTATGTGTACATGCACAGTGCTACTAGCTACCTGCCATTCTTGGGAGAATTGAGCAAATAGTTATTCAAATATATTTTCTGTAGTACTTCATTCTCTCCTGGAACCCTAATTGAGGAAACCTACCTAAATACTCAATTGCTTATCGCATTTCAAAAGACAAAAATACCAAAAATATTTCCTTCAATTAACAATATAATATTAAAATCAAGAAATAAACATTCATATAGTACTATTATCTAATCTCCAGACAGTATTCAAATTTAGTCAGTTGTTCCAATAATGTCCTTCTTAGCAAAGGAGGGGTGTCTGTGGTCCAAGATCCAATCTGGCATTATTCGTTTTGTTTAATTATGATGTCTCTTTTATTGTATGACATATTCTCAGACTTTGATAACCATGGCATTTGCTGATAGAGTATCCCTTAGTCTGGGAGTGTCTCCGGCTTCCTTGGGTAGATTCAGGTTCCTGTTTGGGGCATGGTGCCACAAAGGTTCTGTGTTCTTCTCTGCACAATGTTAGAAGGCACCTGGAGTTGCTTTATCTCGTTACTGATGAGGTTGACCTTGATATTTTGGATAAGGTGAAATCTTTCCAGTTTCTATACTGTGAAGTTATT